TTGGGAGGTCATGTTGCAGCTGTACAGAACATTGGTGAGGCCACTTTGAGAATACTGCATTCAATTCTGGTCTCCCTACAAAGGAAAGATGTTGTGAAATTTGAAAGGGTTCAGAAAAGATGTACAAGGATGTTGCTGGGACTGGAGGGTTTGAGTTATAGGGAGAGGCTGAATAGGCTGGGGCTATTTTCCCTGGAGCGTCGGAGGCTGAGGGGATTATAAAATCATGAGGGGCATAATAGGGTGAATAGCCAAGATCTTTTTCCCCAGAGTAGGGGAGTCCAAAACTAGAGGGCATAGATTTAAGGTGAGAGGGGAAAGACCTAAAAGGGACCTGAGGGGCAAATTTTTCACACAGAGGGTGGTGCATGTATGGAACGAGCTGCCGGCTGGTGGAGTTGGGTACAACATTTGAAAGGCATCTGAATGGGTATATGAATAGGAAAGGTTTGGAGGGATATGGGCCAAATGCTGGCAAATGGGACTAGGTCAGATTGTGATGTCTGGTCAGCATGGACAAGCTGGACCGAAGGTCTGTTTCTGAGCTGTATGACTCTAACTTACCCATTAATCACTAAAGTCGGGTTTCTCACTCCTACTATCTATTCCTAGCAGACTACAACTACAAAATGTAAGGTTTTTTTTGAAAAATATATATTATTCATTAAAAAACCTTTATCTACATACACCGATTCCAAAACAATCTTTATTTATCAAGAAAAACAAACATTGGAATTTGACATTCCCTGCAGTTGCAAAACCAGAGGCATTTCTTATTTCTACATATATTGAGGCATTGAGAGGGTCTGATAACTGCGCGGACCCTCATTATATTTCAGCAGAAAGATCTCAGACAGTGGTCTTTCCCTACTGCACCTTGGCATCAGCTGCCCCAAGCTTTAGTGCGTCCCTCAGCACATAGTCCTGGACCTTGGAATGTGTCAGTCTGCAATACTCGGTCAAGGTCACTCCTTGTTCTGGAAGTGCAACAAGTTTCAGGCAGACCAAAGAGCATGTCCACTGAGTTAATGGTCCTCCAGGTGCAGTTGATGTTTGTCTCAGTATGTATCCTGGGGGACGGACTGTAGAGCACAGAGTCCTGCATCACAGAGTTGCTCGGGACGAACCTCAACAAAAGCCACTGCATCTTCACTTACCCCTGAGGGGCACTCATAGTTACAGAATCAGACTGCACAGAAACAGACCCTTCGGTCCAACCAGTCCGTGCCAACCATAATCCCAAACTAAACTAGTCCCCATGCCTGCACTTGGCCCATATCCCTCCAAACATTTCTTAATCATGAACTAATCTAAATCTTTTAAACATTGTGAATGTCCACCACTTCCTTTGGAAGTTTATTCCACTCACGAGCCACTTCTGTGTAAAAAAAAATTACCCTCACGTCTTTTTTAAACCTTTCTCCTCTCACCTTAAGAATGTGCTTCTGAGTCTTGAAATCCCTCACCCTAGGGAAAAGACACCTTATCTATACACCTCATGATTTTATAAACTGGAGTGAGATGAAGTTTGACATCTTTAGACATTTATACATTTAAGTCACGTTATGACAGCATGTCACTTAAAGGAATATTTTGATACCAACTGTGAGACGTAAAACAACAGTACTTCCTGAATTCTGTGGAAGAGTCATACTGGACTTGAAACATTAACTCTGTTTCTCTTCCCACAGATGCTGCCAGACCTGCTGGGTTTCTCCAGCTCTTACTGTTTTTATTTCAGTAATCCCTTGAATTAAGAAGTATAAGTCAGTATGTGTCTGTGTGTGTGAGTGAGTGTGTGAGAGAGTGTGTGTGTGTGAGTGTGAGTGTTTAAAATGATAAAACATTTCCTAAGGGGAATACAGAGAACTGATTTCCTCTTGTGAGGAGGTCCAGAACTAGGCACCATTAGGACTCAAATCAGGATGCACCTTTTCATATAAACAATATCTGAAAAGATCTCCCTTTCTGAAGAAGGGTCTAGGCCCGAAATGTCAGCCTTCCTGCTCCTCTGATGCTGCTTGGCCTGCTGTGTTCATCCAGCTCTACACCTTGTTATCTCAGCTTCTCCAGCATCTGCAGTTCCTACTATCTCTCTCCCCCTAAAGGTCAGTGGGTGATGGTGCATCGAGACTGAGATTAATGGAATTTTATCACAACGGGGTATTGAGTGATACGGAGCTAAGGGAAATAAATGAAGTGCAAATATAGATCTGCCAAGATCTAAATGAATGGTAGAACTGGCTCAGAGGGGCTGAATAGCCAGCCTCCTTCTGTTCCTATGGCCCCAAAGACATATATTTCAGCATGTGAAAGAAAATTACAAGCTAAATGGATTTGATCTTTTCTGTTCAGATTTTGATTAGCTTTTTTTTGGTACCTCCATGTTGACTGTGAGAATAGGTTTTGTTTCATGTCGTGTCTCCATCTTGTTTTATTGGCTCACATGTCAACATCGTTGATTAGCAAGATCAAGGGACTACTTGTTGCATTGGCGTTGACCAGCTGATAATAGTTTGCCACTTTGTCACCCTTTCTAACATGTCTAGGGATTGCTGCAGTGTCAGAGGTCATAGAGTCTTAGAGCTTGAAACAGACCCTTCGGTCCAACCAGTCCATGCCGACCATGCTCCCAAACTAAACTAGTCCCACCTGCCTGCATTTGGTCCATATCCCTCCAAGCTTTTCCTATTCATGTATTTATCCAAATGTCTTTTAAATAATGTTCCTGTACCCGCATCCACCACTTCCTCTGGAAGTTCATTCTATACATTAACCACTCTCCATATAAAAAAGTTGCCCCTCATGCCATTTCTAAATCTTTTTTCTTTCACTTTAAAAATAAGCCCCCTACTTTTAAACTCCCTCACCTCTTGCTGTCTCTCAGAAGAGATTTTAGACTCAAGATCCCATCTTTCCTCAAAAGTGGAAATAAAAGCTCCCAAGACTTTATTTTGAAGATAATTAACTGTATACGTGAAGACAGAGTTTGATAGGTTTTTAAATATTGAAGACTTGAAAAAATATGGGGATAACGCAGGAAATGGTATTGAGAAGATCAGCCATGATTGAGGTGAATTGTGAAGCTGCAATGTCCCTGTATTTATCCCTAGATCAAAAATCACAAAAACAAAAATTGCTGGAAAACTCAGCGGGTCTGGCAGCATCTATGTACAGAAAATAGAGTCAACATTTTACGTCCAGTGATCCTTCCTTAGGACTGATTACTCCAAGTGTCCATCGACTCAGGCTGAGAGGTGGGTGTGTCAGAAAAGATTGAAGACGACAGATTTTCTGGTCAGTATTGCTTTGATGTTTGTGAACAAAGTCAGAAATCACATGACACCAAGTTACAGTCCAACAGTTATTTGAAAACAAGCTTTTGCAGCCTTAGTCCTTTTTCAGGTATTTGTGAGACCTTGCTGTTTTCAAATTGGCTGCTGTGTTTTCTACAGTAAAAGTAGTCTGTCAGGCAATAGGCTTGCTCTTTCATTAGGAAGGGATGGGGGGAGAGAGAGAGAGAGATGACTGATGGTGGTTTAACCTGAGGGTCACCACGCCTCAGACATGGGGACAGGTTGAGAAGGAGGGTTCTTTGTGTTAATCTCAGAGGGGACAGGAGTTGAACCCACATTGTTGGCATCACTCTGCATTGCAAACCAATCATCCAGCCAACTGAGCTAACCCACCACCCCTCCTGCAACAGCCACAACCCTTCAAAGGTATTTCATCAGTTGCAAAGCCCCACTGGCTATGAGGGGCGCTACTCAAATGCAAGTATTTCCTTAAAAAGGCCTGAAAGTATATTAAATTATGATTGGCACAGATAGGATGAATAGTCAGAATCTATTTCCCAGGGTGGAAATGTCTAATGGTGTGGGGGCATAGGTTTAAGGTGAAAGGGGGAAAAGTTTAAAGGAGATGTGTGAGGCTTTTTTTTTCCCACATAGAGTGTGGTAATGTGACTGGAATGTGCTGCCAGACGAGGTGGTAGAAGCAAATATGATAGCAGCAAATATGATAGCAATGTTTAAGAAGCATTTAAGACACGGTTGAAAACACATGAACTGGCAGGGAATAGAGGGACATGGGCTATGTGCAGGGAGATGGGATTAATTTAGAATGACATCATAGCACAGATATGGTGGGCTGTTTTTTTCTTTATTCATTCACGGGATGAGGGCATCACTGGTCAGACAACATTTATTGTCCGTACCTAATTGCCCAGAGGGCAGTTAAGAGTCAACCACATTGCTATGGGTCTAGTCATATGTAGGCCAGACCAGGTTAAGGATGGCAATTTCCTTCCCTGGAGGACATTAGTGAACCAAATGGGTTAAGGGCCTGCCGAAAGACCTGTTCCTGTGCTATACCATTCTGAGTTATTGTCCCAATCCCACAGCACTAAACTTATTGCAATAATTCATTCTTGTCTCAGGTTCATGTGTGGAATGAACTGCCAGAGGAAGGGTGGATGCAGATTCAGTTACAACACTTAAAAGACATTTGGGTAAATTCATGAGTAGGAAAGGTTCGGAGGGATATGGGCCAAACACAGGCAAGTGGGACTAGTTTAGTTTGGGAACGTGGTCGGTATAGACTAGTTGGACCGAAGGGTCTATTTCCGAGCTGTATGACTGCAACTATGCACTTGGTTCGTCCCAGTTGAAGTCAGTTCGATGCAAATTAAGAGACAAAATTCGGATTAACTGTGAGCATGCACAATCTTTGTCACCACTTCCATTTCTTCTCCGAGTTTCAGGTTCCCACACACACTTTCCCCTGTACTCTCCACCAAATTTATGACTAAACCTCCTTTCCTCATGTTCTACAGAAAATACCGCACCTCCCACCTCCTTTTCCGAGGACACCCGGATAGTGAATCGCACAAACTTTTTTCCAACCCACCCACCTACCTACCTCTCAGCCTCTGAGTGGACGGACCCTGGATTAATCAGACGACACTCAATGGGTGCTCCGCCCAAAGAAACACACCACACTCTCCCCACCCCCCCGCCCTCCCAAACCGCCTCTCTTCCAGCACACGCAAGTTTTTAAAAAGATGATGGTTCTGTCAGCTCTTGTCACTTGTGGCACAGGCTGGGGACAGCGTTAGTCTGCACTAGAAGAATTGGTAACTTTTCTCAACTTGGCTTCAGGTAAGAGGAAACTTTCGTCAGACATTTTCAAACTGCACTGTTTTTAAAAAAATTTTTGCAAAATGCTTATAGTGAAAACGCCTCTGGATCGGTTTCTGCATCGGATTGAAATTGAAACGAGCAATTTCTGTGAGCGAGTCTGTACGTTTTAACTTTTTTTTAATGGAGTTCAGAAGAAAAATTGGGAAAGTCACTATTCTCCGAGGGACAGTCACCTCCAACGCGTTGTATGCGACAGGTTATAACTTTCGTTCGCCCCCTTGAAAATGGGAATAATCTGTATTGATTCCTATGAATGACTGGGGTGGGGTGAGGTGAGGGGGCAGTGAAACGGCGGTGTTAGGGATTTCCGATTACCAAATTGAATTTTTATCCTCCCAGAAACTCCGGATAAAATTTCTGCTCCACTCCGCTTCTTACCTGTCCCCATGTTCCAGCATCTGCAGTAATTTGCTGCCGTACGCTTCTCAATTCTGTGACCTTTTTGTTTGTAACTAAAATTCCTGCCCCACTCTGAGCTCGTTTCCGTATTTCGAACAAGGCGAGAGACTTTGATTTATGAAGCAGCAACTTTCACTGACGGAGATTTAGTTTTGTTTTGAAGCGAGTCATGTTTATAGAAGGTAGATAATCTGGACTCACCTGTACTGTCTATTTCCACGTTCTGGAGTTTTTATCTTATTTTGTCCACACCCCATGTAAACATTACTAGGTAGGCCTGCCTGCGTTTTATTGTCCATCTATTTTGTTTTAAAGGACTCGCCACTGCAATCCGTGTGGTTTCGATTCGATTCTCTCTGCTAGAGAGAGAGTGTGTTCCAGGATTTTGACATGGTGTGTGGCTTTAAAGTGGCTGTTTTTTTTTAATTACAAGGTATATTTTTACCGAAGATGTGGCGAGTTGTTTCTCTCAACCTGCCGTTCTTTTTTTCTTCCAAACCCCTTCTTTGACTCCAGTTTTCGGTTGCCTGACCTAATATCCTTAAAGGTGCTTTGCCGTCAAACGTGGTGAGTGGTAACCCTCCTGTGTTTGATGTGCAGTTGAAATGCGACTTTGTTTTTTCTTATAACAAAAACAGAAATTGCTGGAAATGCTCAGCAGGTCTGGCAGCATCTGTGGAGAGAAATCGGTTAATGTTTCAGGACCGGCCACCCTTCCTCAGAACTGTTTTGTTTGCAATGTGTCCCTATCTCATGTTGCCCCCCGCCCCCCCATTGCTCCTTTACACAGGTGTCAGTAGAGGCAGACCCACAGCTGACTGATTTCTTGACACTTTTGCTTCTATTTAGCAAAGGGAACGTTTTAGATGGTGTCAGTGTCCTTTTAAACACATAACGGCCAAGAATTCTTGTTCCACTGTCGCATTCGTTATCTTCTTGTGTTTGTTTTTTTTTTGGGGGGGTGGCCCGTGGGAGTGTTGGTTAACTTGGGGATGGCTGGAGTGTGGTACAAAACTGTGCCAGTGTTGCAGGTTTAATCCCAGTTACTGGCCATGATGGTTCAGGGAGACTTGTAGACTCATGTACAGACCCTTCTGACCAACTTGTCCATGCTGACTAGATATCCGAAATAAATCTAGTCCTGTTTGCCAGCATTTGGCCTGTATCCCTCTAAACTTTTCCTATTCGTGTACCTATCCTTTTAAATGCTGTAATTGTACCAGCCTCCACCACTTCCTCTGGCAGCTCATTCCATACATGCACCACCCTCTGCATGAAAAAGATGCCCCTTAGGTCCCTTTTATACCTTTCCCCTCTCACCTTAAACCTATGCCCTCTAGTTTTGGACTTCCCTACCCTGGGGGAAAAGACCTTGGCTACTCATCCTATCCATGTCCCTCATAATTTTATAAATCACTAGAAGGTCGTCCCTCAGCCTCCGATGCTCCAGGGAAAATAGCCCCAGCCTATACAGCCTCTCCCTATAGCTCAAACCCTCCAACCCCGGCAACATCCTTGTACATCTTTTCTGAACCCTTTCAAGTTTAACAACATCCTGCCTTTGGCAGAGAGATCAGAATGGAGTCCCTCGTATTATACATTACATTGATTCTCCCTGATGGAGAGGGAAGTCTTTCATCCTTTGTAGACTGTAACTATTTACTAGGTGTATTGCTATTTACCTCTTGGAATATTTTTGATAGTTGCCCCTCCTGGTCCAGCAACTTGTGCATCAGGCACTGACAAGTGATGTGTGACACAAGACCCAAAAGTCCATTGTTTAGCCAAAAATCAATCCAGTCACTGCTCACCAAAGAGCCCTATCAGACTCAACATTAACTAATTCTCTGTCTCTGCACAGATGTTGCCCGACCTGCTGAGTTTCTCCAGCAATTTCTGCTTTTATTTCAAATCTCCAGTGTCTGTGGTATTTTGCTTTGATATATGTAACTGTAAGCCCTATCGCTGGCACTTTCTGGTGTGTTCAGTGCTATAGTTGAGTTGGCTACCTCCTGCTAAGCTCTGCTGGTTTAATTTCCAGCTTGTAGAGTTGTCTTTTCCCTAGGATGGGGGGGGATTTCATGACTAGGGGCATATTTTTAACGTGATAGGAGAGAGATTTTAAAAGAAGACATGAGGGGCAAATTTTTTTTACACAAAGCGTGGTTTGCGTGTGGAATGAACTTCCTGAGGAAATGGTGGATGTGGGTACAATTACAACATTTAAAAGACATTTGGATAAGTACGTGAGTAGGAAAGGTTTGGAGGCATGTAGGTCAGGAGCAGGCAGGTGAGACTAGTTTAGTTTGGGATTATGTTCGGCATGGACTGGTTGGACCGAAGGGTCTGTTTCTGTGCTGTATGACTCTGTGAGGGTATCACAGTGAAGGCTGCTGTGTTGTGATCATAACCTTTTGTGTTCCTGTGTTACAGAATGAGCTGAATCCCCTCCAATCTCTGCTCCTGGTCCCTCTGTGCATCCTGCTAGATGTGTGTATATCTTGAATGAATTCATGACTGGTGCTGACCACCTCTGTGCTAAAGATGGCTGTTAAGGGACGTATGGTAGCCTAGTGGTTATAGTACTGGGCTAGCAATCCAGAGACCTGAATTTGTGCTCTAAAGAGGCAGGTTCAAATCTCATCAGCTACTGAGAGAATTTGAAATGAAATAAATCTGAAATCAAAATCTCATTGTCAGTCACAGTCATCTTGAAACTACCAGGTTTGTTAATATCCTTTGAGGAAGGAAATGTGCTATCCTTACCTGTTCTGGCATCTACGTGGCTCCAGATTGACAGCAATGTCCTCTGAAATAAACGTACCCCTTTGTATTCAAGATGTTAGCTCACCACTAATCCCTTGAGGGTATCTTGGGGATGGGCGAAGAATACTGGCTTTGCCAGTGACACCAAGAATCTGCAAAACAAATTTGAAAAGATGTTTGCTGTGGTTATATGAACCTGTTCGGATGTGGTATGACACACCTCTGGAGCAGGTGGAACCTGAGCCCAGGCCATATGGCACAGAAGTGGGAACACTACCACAGCTCCCCAAGAGCCGTAAGATCGCTATGTAGACTTGCCTGCTGCTTCCTTGGCGCTACAGCTGTTGCTTCATATTCCTATATTATAGAGCAACAAGAAGAACTGGCAAGGAATGTGCAGCATTGAAAGCACAATACATGTACATCAGTTGAAGTGTAGCTTAGGGATGTGTAGAGGCAAGTATGGTGGTAACTGAATTATTTTCGCAATTCGTTGGTAGAAGATGTTGATGTCTGAGCTGCTGGCACACTAGGTGATATTCCTATCTTTGGAGTAAGGATGTCCCACCCTAGAGACCCTGAATAACTTTTTTTAAAAAAAAACAAGTTAGGCACTCCCACTCCAGCCCTCAGGAGATCCTGGCAATGTTGGAGTTGATATCTTTCAGATGAGGCATTAATCCCAGGACTCCACTTGAATATAAATTTAAATCCCATGAAATAATCATGCATGGCAGTTCTCCCTGTTGTTCTGGCTAATGTTTATCCCTCAATTAATATCATTATCACGCTGAGTAGGCCACGCAGCCCCTCCAGTCTGCTGTGCCTTATGACTAAATCATTTCCAATACTGTTCCATATTCCTTGATGTCTTTACTACAGCTTGTTTTGAAATTGTTTTCTCTGAGGGAGTTCAAGACAAATAGGCATACTGTAAAAGTTATCCCACTGCTGTTTTTGGGATTGTGTATGCAAATTCGATGCTCTGTTCAAGTCTTTAGATAGATTAATCCACAGGAATGGACAAGATGTAAATAACTGTAGCTATTAGTCACCAGGAGGTGAGGCGTAATTATGGTGTTTGCTGACAATCTCGCGGGGTTGATGTAGTCTGTGTGAATTATTTAGTTTTGAAAGACTGCAACATTGCACACAAAGTAATATTGTGCCAACTGTGTAAGACAGGTCTTTATAAGAGTGTTGCTGAACAAAGAGACCTTGGAGTGTAGGTTCATAGTTCCTTGAAAGTGGAGTTGCAGGTAGACAGGATAGTGAAGAAGGGGTTTGGTACATTTGCCTTTATTGGTCAGTGCGTTGAGAATAGGAGCTGGAGTGTCAAATTGTGGGTTATGAGAGTCCAAAACTAGAGGGCATAGGTTTAAGGTGAGAAGGGAAAGATTTAAAAAGGACCCAAGGGGCAATTTTTTCATGCAAAAGTTGGTGCATGCATGGAATGAGCTGCCAGAAGAATTGGGTGGAGGCTGGTAGAATTACAACATGTAAAAGGCATCTGTCTGGGTGCATAAATAGGAGGGGTTTAGAGGCCAGACTAATATGGGGCTGGATTAATTTAGGATATCTGGTCGGCATGGACGAGTTGGACCGAGCGGTCTGTTTCCATGCTGTACCACTCTGACTCTGTGTTTTGTACTGTACAAGCCATGTTTTAGGGGTAGCGCTCTCAGGTTTGAGTTGGGAAATTATGGGTTCAAATCCCACTCCATAGACTCAAGCACAGCATCTGGGCTGTCAGTGTTGCCCTGTGTGTGGTGCCATCTTTTGGATGAGATTCTTAAAGTCGAGGCCCCATTCACCAGCTTGGAGAGGCAACCTTTCTTCCTTTTTGTTTTAAAAGGTGCAGTAAATCTGAAGAGGAGGTTGTGGAGTAGGGGGTTTGTGGGGGGCGGGGGGTACCTCAAAAATCTGATCTAGAAATGGGAGCTCATTGTGTACAGATTTGCTGCTGCATTTCCTAAATAATGTAGGGACTAGGCTTGAAATAGTCCATTGGTGGTGCAGCACTTTGAAACATTCCTCTGATTGTGAAGAGTTCTGTAGAAATGCAAGTCCATTTCTAAAGGAAGCGATCTTGAGTACGTAGAATCATAAAATCCCCACAGTGTTGGAGCAGGCTATTTGGCCCATCAAGTCCATACCAACCCTCAGAAGAGCAACCCACCCAGACTTACACCCCTACTCAATCCCTGTAACTAACCCTCTTAGCCTGTACATCCCTGGGCACTATGGGCAATTTCCCATGGCCAGTCCATGTAACTGGCACATCTTTGGACTGTTGGAGGATACCCACTCAGTCATGGGGAGAATGTCTATGTGGAGTTTGCACAGTCGCCCAAAGCTGGAATCAAACCAGGGTCCCTGGCGCTGTGAAGCAGCAGTGCTAACCACTGAGCCACCGTGCTGCCTTTACTTACCTGGACGGCTGGAAATAAGAGCAGGAGTAGGCCACTCAGTCCCTCATGTCTGCTGTGCCTTGCAACTAGATCATTCGTTGTTGATGTACCTCCATTATTTCCCACACTGTTCCATATTCCTTAATGTCTTTTGCACAGGTTGTTTTGAAATTTTTTTTCTGAGGCTGTTGAAGACAAATGGGCGCATTCTAAGCCTGGCCAATTTTAAGAAGGCGGGGGGCTTTTTTCACTCATTTTGCTTGGCAATGAACCCACTTCCCAAAAGAGTCTGGATGCTGGTGGCATGTTTATGACAGTGCTAGTTTCTTTTTGTTTGCTAAGTCATATGGAGCTGAGTTAAGATTTGCTGTGATCTCGCTGAATGTCCAAACGGCCCCACTGGTTTGATTTAGCCTACTGTTCCTCTTGTGGGTCTCACCATAAATGGTGATGGGTGTCTGGGGCTATATTTTGCCTCTTATGGGCCACCTGAGGGGAAATGGGAAATCCTGGAAAAGGCATGAAATCTTCCCCAGTAAATGACCCAAAGATCTCGAATGAGGCTTCACCTAGTGTGATTGGGAACTCTGTTGATGAGGCTGGTGGATGTAAAGACTACAAAGATTTCCAATGGAAATTTCAACATCACGTTGGGGGATATAGATTTGGAGGGCTACAGGGGTTAAATGGAGTTTAAACTCTGAGGGCGAACAGTGTCTTTTCTGTGCTATAATGACATTTGTGTTAAATATTCTTTCGATATAGGCATCGCTGGCAATGCCAGCATTTGTTACCAGTCTGGAGTTGCCCTTGAACAGTGTGGCTTGCTGGGGCTTTGTAATGGACAATCACGAGTCAACCACGTTGCTGTGGGTCTGGAGTCACGTGTAGCCAGACCATGTAAGGATGGCAGATTTCCTTCCTCAAAAGGCACTAAGTGAATGTATTTGGGCCTAGACCCTTCATCAGAAATGGGGGAGGGGAAGGGGTTTCTGAAATAAATAGGGAGAGAGGGGGAGGTGGATAGAGGAGAGGATAGGTGGAGAGGAGACAGACAGGTCGAAGAGGCGGGGATGGAGCCAGTAAAGGTGAGTGTAGGTGGGGAGTTAGGGAGGGGGTAGGTCAGTCCAGGGAGGACGGACAGGTCAAGGGGG